CCATCTGGTTTACAGGCCAAGAACAGACTAGAAAGAGGCAAGTGTGAAAACAGGGAGAGCAGTTAGGAAGCTTTTGCAATCAGCCAGGTGAGAGACCAAGGTGGCAACAATAACTGTACAGTGGTTACATTCTGTATCTATTTTGAAGGCACAGTTGACAGGATTTGTGGAAGGACTGGATGGGGTGTAAGAGCAAGAGAGGTTAAAGCTGCCTCTAAGATTTCTGGAAGGATGGAGTTGCCACCTGCTGAGATGGGAAAGATTACAGAGGGCTATTTGGGGACAATTGGAAGTAGAATAAGGATATGTTTTGGATCTGTAAAGTGGAAAAAACCTATAGCACCCTGGAGATGCCGAGTAAGCAGTAGGATATACAAGTCCGGCATTTTAGGAGCGTTGTGTAATCATAACAAATGATTAGGATTTGTTATGATTTCAAATCCACTTGTTTATGACTTAAGTGAAGTTGTTTTGATCCACTTGTTTGTGGCTAAAGTGAAGCTGTTTTGCTCTGAGGATGAATTTGTTTACATTGGGGAGGCCTTGTTAAGAGGATGTGCTACTGTGTGCTTATCGATATGAACATATGGAGGAGGGATGACAATGTAATGGGCATTTAAACTTTAAATACCAACGGCGCTGTCGCAGTGGCATAGTGGTTAAGTTCATGTGCTCTGCTTCGGCAGCCTGGGGTTCGCAGGTTCAAATCCCAGGCATGGATCTATGCACTGCTCATCAAGCCATGCTGGGGCAGCATCCCACATACAAAATAGAGGAAGATTGGCAACCGATGTTAGCTCAGGGCCAATCTTCCTCACTCACACACACAAAAATACCAAGAAGTTGTGAGGATTTACTGAGAGTGTTCAGTCTGGGTAAGGCTACTCTTTGCTGATCTAAATAGCTCTCTGAAGATCTTGAAACCCTGGCTCCTGGCATGTCAGGCTACTCTTGTTCGGCAGTGGTGTTAAACTGTGCAGTAGTCTCAGGAGGAGGAGGGACATCTGTTCCTGCCTTGGCGAGGCTACTCCTTGTAGGCAGTGGTGCAAGCTGTGTAATGGTCCCTGGTATAATGACCTTCAGAGCAGCCCACTTTTCCCGCCAAAACCAGTGCCGTCACCCACTAACTACATGCTCCAGCAGTGAGGGACTTAAGCCGGCAGCTGATACCCAGCTTTTGGTTGGAAGGACTGACTCTACCAAGAACCAATTTGTAGAAAGCTGGTTCAACTAAATTTGGACTTTTTTTCTTTCATCTCTCCTTTGCCTGGAACAATAGTGTAATTAATCTATCATTGGCTTGGAGTATTTTATTTCATTATTGGCATATTAAGAGACATTATCCTTATGCTATTGGCTTATGAAATATTATTATTATAATTCCCCACAGTGAATCTGCAGAAAATAAATTATTGGCAAGGACGATCTCATCTCTGAGCATAATTTGCCACGGACAAAACAAGGAGCAAGGTCAGGTCTGGGGATATGAACTTGGGAGCCATCCACACACAGCTGGTATTTAAAGCCACAGGAGGAGATCAGATCATTCAGGGAGTAAATGTAGTCACAGAAGAGGTCCAAGGACAACCCTAGGC